TCCCCATTCTTTCTCATGCTATGCACAGTCTCTTTCAATCTCTTTCTCTTGTCTCCACATCTGAGCTAGAATCAAAATCCCTACCCTAATTTCAGTTGCAATAAAATGGCACAACAAAGATTCAAGGGTCCAAGAGCCTCTAAAATGTGCCAACCAAGAGATCTGTGACACCTCTGTGATGATGGAGTAGGAAATCAGTCACCTTAAATATGCCCATGGGAATGCCTTGTCTGTGTTCTTACTTTTAAGATGCTTCCCCCTGATTTCTAGGTCCTTCTTCAGCATCCCTTTGTTAAAAACCAAGTAGTAACAGGGAAAAGAGAGACATCAAGAGATAGGAAACTGATAAAATTACATCCCTGGGCAGCTCCATCCCTTCATATCTAAAAAGATCCCTTGATAATTTTTCTATTGATATATTGACATACACTTACACAGTTGGGATTTAATCAAAATCTCCTCTTTAATGGAAAATATCCTAATCAATGTGCACATGATTAAAAGATGCTATATGTAAATTAGAGTTTTATCAACGATTATCTAATTCATTTTGGTCAAGTCACTATTATACTTTATTTATGGCATGTATCTCCCTCAGCAGGTAGCCTAAAGCATGGCACAAAATAGACTCCCAATTAACATTAAAGAAAGAAAAGAGGATACAATAGGAGAGAAGGAAGAAGGAAGGGAGAGAAGGTCTGGATAAATCAGTCTTTAATTAGATCAGTCTGGGGACTAGTTACCCGGTTTTGGCTATTGTCACTTCTCAAGAATATGGCCTTACTGTTAAAGCCTCATTTCAACTTATGCTGCATTTAAGAGTTAACAAAATACAATGCACAGAAGTATTTTAGAAAGCAATTCAGAACATAGTTTACCATTTAATAAGTATTTGCTAATGTGTCCAGCATCAGCTACTTTACATATATCCTCTTTAATCCTCCCAACTATCCCCCAAGGAAGGAATTATTGTCTTTGTTTCATACAAGACAAACAAAAACAAGGCTGGGTGCAGTGGCTCACGCCTGTAATCCCAGCACTTTGGGAGGTCAAGACGGGAGCATTGCTTGAGCTCAGGAGTTCAAGACCAGCAAGGAAGAAGAAAAGAAAAACAAAACAAACTGAAGTCTAGAGACTAAATGCCTTGTTCCAGGCCATACAGCAAGAAAGTACATTTCCCAGGCCACTCTGATTCTGAAGCCCATAGAGATGACTCCAAGATTGACATTCAGTTAGTGTGCTCCTAAAATATTGAAATACTTTGGTAAATTGCCCTGCTTCAAGCCCTGAAGGCCATGCATCTACCATCCAGAAACCAAGGGATAAATTTTGACCCAGCAAGAGATTTCTAGCACCATATTCCAGAGCTGTGGCCACTGCCCAAGTCCCTTTTGATTGGTCAATGTCCTGCTGGAGTGATGACTAAATACACTTTAATGTCATCACAGCTTTACATCCTTCTACTGTAATCTGTCTCCTGCTGAAACAGACTACCTGTGGTTCACTCTTAAGTCAACCAACCAGCCTTGAGAAAGATTATAGAATAAGCCATGTGATGAGTATTTCTGTCTGGGCCTCTTGCAACAGCAAACAGTTCTGTTTCCATCAAATACTGAAGCCCTGGGGAAGCAACACCCAGTCCTCTGACTCACTGACACCTTTCTGAAGAGTAAGAGGTATTTCCATAGGCAAGTCTCATAATCCTTGAGAAAACATTTCATGCTTCTCAGAACCTGCACTTTATTCATAGTCTGGTTTCAGCATTCACTTCTGAATGCAGAGGCACAGAAAGTGCAGCTATTCAAAGAGTCAACCTCTGTGTATACTACCATGCTTGTGCTTTCTTTAGACCACCTGTACCATTGCTTAATCCATTTTTTCTTTAAATTGACTCATTTTCTCTATATTATTACAACAAATGGAGAAACAGTATCTCTAGCCAGAAAGAGAAAGTAACCTTGTAAAATAATGCACTATTATTAAAATGAAAATACTCAACCCTCTGCCACCTGAAAATACTCTTACACACCATGACAGATA